ATTGAGGAACCCAAATGTCTATTTCTATCGATTTACATAGTAAAGATGCAATGTACCTCGTGCTCCTGTAAAGATCGACTAATGTTATTGCTACAACAACAGAAAATATATAACATCTGGAAAATGTTATCATTTTTCTAAGTGCCAAGGCAGTTTATCAAATATACTTCATGCTGCCGTAAAGATATTTATCAATTACACTCACCAGAGTAAATGCCGAACTCGTGAGGCCATCTTAGTGGATAAGCCACAGTTTCCTAGTCGGGGTTAATTAGCAGCTTCATCACGATAAAGTCTTATAATTATTGTTACATCGTGAGTATATTGTAAAGTCATTGTTATCTTGGAGCTTCAGTAATCTTTGTATCAGGTATTAGATGAAAGCGTTATGATGTAGTCGCGTTTCTCGCACAATCTTGTTCCCATCAACGTCACTGACAAGGCCGTGCTGACGTTTGATCGCTACCCACATATACCTACCCATGTACTATGTGTTTGATGATCTGATAAGACAGCACCGTATTAGCGGTGCACACTGACCATCTTATCAGATAAAATGGATCGTGTTGGAGTGACCCAGGGTCAGTGGAATTGTAGGAGAGCATAGCGTTGTGCTAGGGTGACAGTCCCCCTTTACCAGTTATTTTGATTAATTTCTGTTTTTTCACCTCTTATCATAAAAAGAGGTAAAAACAGGCATTGACGACATTGCAAATGCAATACTAAATATAGCAGATTTTGTAGATACCGTACAAATTAACCATACATTATCTAGAAAGAGCTGCAGAAATGCGGTATACCGAAGGTATACTTCAAAATGTAAAGGGTTTGTAAAGGCTTCAAAACAAGATGGTTAAAAATCGTTTATTTCGGTAAGGCGATTTCAGTTGCCGATTTTGTGTTGGCTGTAAAGCTAATGACGTGGTGTTTCATATCGAAATGACGTCACGTTTCAGAGGGTCGGCTGATACAGGGTATTTTGAACTCAAGGTTTTGGTTTTATGTACTCCCTTAGTCAAGATGGAGTAAAACATTACGTAGAGCAGTGAAGCTCCCGATTTGGGGCCATTCGGGCGCCTGCGTAGGTTTTAAGACTAGCTTATGTCTCGTGGTGAAGAATAGGGAATGTCCTCTAAAAGGATTTTTCGAGGCGATTTCAAGACGTCACGTCGTTGTTAATCAATTATGATGTCACGCACGTGAAATGGGGTGTAAGACAGAAATAGCTTACATCCCTTTCCTACCCTGGACAGTTTTGTCATATACGCACAGGATTGAGAGAAAAATAGAATAATTTACTTCCTTGGGTGTGAGATAGGGAGATCTCAACTCAATGGAGAAGATTGCATTGCAAATGTATATGACAGGATCAGAAGGGTAAGATAAACAGAATAATCTACCCCCTTAAAGTGAGATGAGGAATCCCAGCCCTCAACATTAGAGAAAGATTGTTAAAATACCAAGCACCCGTGTTTGGCAGCTTAAGAATCTTCCTCGTTGGGTTGAGATTCTCTTATCTCACCCCATATGGTGTAAACGATTTAAACAGTTGTTTTCCCGAGGGTTAAGACGGGTGTATGTGTGGAGAAGGGAGAGGGGAGAGGGGAGGGGGTGGTGGTGGTGGGCGTCACGTCAACGATGCTATGACGTTTCCTCAACAACGCATTAACGTCACGTCATTAATTCATTTCGAATGTATAAGGTTAACATAGAATTATGTATATGACAGAGGTCAACAGAGTTAAAAAATCATTTGCCCCTTGAGATGAATCTAAACCCTCGGGGAAAGATTCCAATAACAAAAAATAATGGAATTATCGCCACGTATACATGTTAAGGCAGAAAAGTCTGTCTCCAAGTCGATTTTTTGATGAACTATGCTAAGCATGAATGCGGCTCCTGACATACTTGCAACGTTAACTGATCTGAATGTAACACGAGCCCAGATAACCCCAGCTTTGTGAGATAATTTAGTTACGAACAGTGCCATTTTGTTGTGGACGACCAAGCATTTGGATGTATCACAAATAAATCATAATAACAGAGCTCCCTCGCTCGCCATCAACTGATCCAGATGTCGGAGGAAGAGTGTAAGGGTCGGGTTTCAGCGTGCAGTTATTCGATTGGGTGTCATATAGTGAACATCGTTCATTGTCTGGGAGTCGCGCCTAAATCATATCTTTGTTGAAAGCAAATAGGTTTCTTCCAAACTGCGTCGATATACATCGTAAACAACCAATAAAGATGGTTCCGGTCAGGTCTTTACCAAAATGATTACTCAAATTGTTTCGACCAAAAGTTAAATTTGTCTCGTGCCATTGTCTGAATTTGTCATATCAGCACGACCTTATCTTGACAGGCGGTGATGTAGTCGTAAATTCCGGTTTTCGATAATTAGATATAACGTTAAATTGATGCACATTTAAAGAAATTATTTTAATAATTACCAAGTTGTTGAATTTCTTGTGTAGTCAATTAAATAACCGTTCAGTAGCACTATTTAATATGTACTTGATAATTTTTCGCAGTCTCATTTGATGTATCCTATACACGTGACCAGTTCTAAAAATCTCATGTAGACCGGTTATATTAACCTTGCGGAGAATCCCCTACAGTTTTACCGTTAGTTGAAAGGGGTTTGGTAAATAAACACTTAAAAGGCTTAGTATATGTTTGGTTATCATTTAACATCAAAAATATATTGCATTGGTTGAAGCATGTCTGTTTTTCATAGCCGAAAGCAGAGACATATACAGGTATGTTTCTACCAAAATGTGCAACTTGAAAACTGCAATAAATCAATGTAGGAACCTCATATTGAAACGTCTAACTAAAAGGTGTTATTGATTTGAATTATCTATTAATTATATTTCATTTATTTACTCATTGATTTTTTAAAGCATATAATAAAAACAGTTATGGAGTTTTGTAAATATACCGCGGCAATGTGATATGAACCATGTCCAAAAAGATATTGACCTCAGCTTGGCCACGGTCAATATCACTTTTCATGTTCATATCACATTATATCGCAAAAGCCCATACTTTTGTTTTAATGCATACTTGTAAGTCAACAGGTTAAACATTAAAACAGATCTCTTCCTGTGCGACCCTGGTAACATGCCGAAACCGAGAATCATTTAGAAAAAGCACAAAACTTCATTGTCAAATCAATCCAAGGTTTTAATGTAAGAACAAGAACAGATATGTGCACGTCCTTGATTGGTTGGTTTTCTGTAGAAGTATACATCAGCGTAAAGAAAATGTTATTTTTTGGTAGAATATGTTCCATGGAAGTTGGCTGTTTAACACGCGAAATTCTTATCAAGCGTCTATTCGAATTCAACCTGTCTCAATTTAGTAGAGGTTTTGTTCCCGACATTGTTAATGTTTTACAAAAATACAATTTGTATCATTTTATTGATGAATTTTTGAAGAGTGGTGTATTTCCAAACAAATGTCAATGGAAGCGTTTAGTCAATGACCATGTAAAAAACTATGAACAGTTTAACTTATGTGAAAGAATGAACGCTGATAGGGACTTCTCTCGCTTCACTCTTTTACATAATAAGATACAACCGTATGCTATATGGAAACTTGCTTTACGCTTTCCACAATACAGTCCATGTTTTAAGAAAATTGTTAAACTTTGTGTTGAAATGCGCGATAATGAAAATATATATTTGTGTCATTACTGTGGATCTATGTACAAAGATACTATTATGCATAGTGTACTCGAATGCTCACACACAGAGCTATTACGTGACCAGCTCTGGTGTGTACTCAGTACTGTAAAAGATATAGATTTTGTGTTTAATCTTAATGTAATGTCTAATTACCATCTACTTCATGTTCTTCTTGGTGGTATTTTCAATTATGACTTATCTCCATATGAACTGGAGGACTTTAGAATAAAATCCATTGTTATTATTACTAAAATTCTTCAATACAGTGGCATTATGTAATTTATCCTTAGATATTTGAATGTTGTATACTGAGTAATATGATCACTAATTTACTTGTGTGTACCTCACGCTTCAGCAAGATGAATACATGAAATACATATATTTTTGTATTCATATTAGTAGGCAAGCATTTCCTACGTCTTTCCTGTTGATTAGTGCAACTTACTACCATTCATAATATTGTTTGTATTGTATGAATTAATCTTGTGAGATGTATTACTACAACTGAAATCATTGTATGGTTGCGCTGTTTCTTCAAGTTAATTATTATATTGTATGTTGTGTATTTCACACCACTGTATGACTATGTTGTATGACTTCGTGCAACGGGTTCTACTCAATGTATGATTGTATTGTAAGACTTATGTAACAGTAATACTGTCTATAATAATGCTGTATAATTTATAGTGTGATGCTTGTAATACTGTTTATTACAATGTTGTATGATTGCTTAGTACGAGAAGTGGATTACTGTCTATACTATTATATGATAATGTAGTCTGAGGAGTGTAAATATGTCTATTATATCAATGTGTGATGTAATATATGATTAGTGTTATACTGTCTATCATCATAATTATCACCGTATAATGACTGTAATAGTACCTATTATATCATTGTGTTGTGTTTATAGTACTTTATGGTATGATGCGTGTACTATTATTATTCTCTTATGTGTGTGTCTGTCCATGTGCATGTGTGAGTCACTATGTCAGGGTGTGACCATGATTGTGAATGCATTTTCTTCTCTTTTCAATAGCGTTTTGTTCGTTATTTCTGTAACTCTTCATTTCTGGAGGAAATAAAGGAAATAATAATACTTGTAAGTCAACAGGTTAAACATTAAAACCGATCTCTTCCTGTGCGAGCCTGGTAACATGCCGAAACCGAGAATCATTTGTCCCTGTAACTCGGACACCAACACAGATCCCGAAACGGGCGTCCTTAGTAACATGTCTAACAACCAGACAGGTCCCTAAACAAACGTTCCTGGTAACAGTTCGGACGCTATGAGAAATCCCTAAACGGGCATACCTGGTAAGAGACAGATCCCTAAACGAGTGTCCCTGGTAACAGGTCGGACACCGAGACAGATAGTTAAACTGGCGTCCCTGGTTACAGGTCGGACAACGAGACAGATCCCTAAACGAGTCTCCCTGGTCACAGGTCTTACACCAAGACAGATCCCTCAACAAGCGTCCCTGGTTACAGGTCGGACAACGAGACAGATACCTAAACGAGTGTCCCTGGTCACAGGGCTTACACCAAGACAGGTCCCTCAACAAGCGTCCCTGGTTACAGGTCGGACAACGAGACAGATCCCTAAACGAGTGTCCCTGGTCACAGGTCTTACACCAAGACAGGTCCCTCAACAAGTGTCCCTGGTAACAGTTCGGACACCGAGACAGATCCCTTAACGGTTGTCCTTGACGAGGTTGGACTTGGAGACAGATCTGTCATACGAGTCATATATCCTTAATACATTTGTCTACATTTCACAAACGAAATGGGGTTTTGACAGGATTTATATTACGATATCTCTCTTCAAGTGTAGTATAACACACAGATCGATGTGATGCGTCCTTGGTTTTTTGCTTCATGTGTTACTTTCAGAAGCTAAATATATCCACCAATCTAAAGGATAACGTAATTTGACAAATCATGAAGACTGTGTGTCTATACATCCCAAGGTTCAAATCATAATCTGTTATTGCTTTCTCTCGATGTTTGATTTTCACAGATCACACTATCATCTCTATTTGACGTCTCGTACATATAGCCATCTAATGCCGTGTCATTTTGTACTGATCACATGACGGGGAAATAACATATCGTGTTTCCCTCTCGCGTTCGAGTCTCTTTATCTGAAGCCCCCCCCCCCCCCCCCCCCCCCATCTATGTCTGAATTTCGAATTGTTGAAACATACAACAACAATTGCGAGGATGCATGATCATTTTTACAGTTTTGCTATTATTCTATGTTGCTGTAATAAAATATTTATCGACCTTGTTTCCCCGCGATTAATCATGATTCCTTACTAACAAAAGCAGTAAATGGATTGTGACCATGATGACGTATAGGTAATACCCAACAGAGTGGTTGGTTGGCACCGGTGGTATAACACTCGCCTTTCAACAAGGCGGCCGGGTTCGATTCTCCGATCGGACGGGAAAAGAAATCGGGTCAGTTGCCCGACCATGTGGGTTTCTTCCGGTTACTCCAGCATTGAGCCCCCCCGCGCGCTAACATCCGAAGATATAACTTGTCAATAATAGTTGTAAAACAAGTAAAGTTTATATTAATACCCAACTTCTTGTAGCCACAGTAGGGGATTTGTATACCACTTAAATAAAATAGCATCGAACATACTGAATTTGGAATTTACCCCCGTACAGCATTTATATTCTCAATAAGTATAATTTTGTTTCAAACGTAAGTGCTAAGTTTCGCGAGCTTTCCCCACAGCTGACGTGAGCCTTACAGTGTGTTGTTATAAAGTATTAATAGTCACACGAAAGGAATTAAGAGTATGGTTCTTGGGGTTCAATTTAACAGAAAACAGCAGAAGCTGATGTTGCTAACAAATTCTTCATGTCGACATTACAAGTCATTAATTTTGATCAACTATAGCGATTCCACATTGGTTGTTTTAGTGGGATAATGCGTACAACAAAACGACATTTTCCGAGCACGTTATTTTCCGCGATTACTTTAACCATTTCTGATACCTTGTTCTCAGTCAGCCCACATACTTGTGTGAATACATTTTCCATCGAATATACGGCACTCAGAAAGTTTGGTGTTAACTCGTAAAGACGGGATATCAAACCTGATTGTTTCATTTCTCCGTCGTACTTTTTGTACTTTCGTTTCGTGATTTATCACCGAGACTGAAGACTGATTAACTTTTTAAACTCGGATTGTGATCACCGATTGACCTCCCTTCTATCGGAAGTTGATTTTGAATTCGAAATGCATAGGCGTTTACTTGTAAACGTGACACCGTGTATGGTTAGATAATCCTCTTGAATTATCGATTTCGTTTAAAACAAATAGGTTACGTAGCCACCGAAAACAGGATCGTTAACTTCCAGAAAAAGGAAGTAATTAGTTCCAGTTTAGCATACACGTACGTCGTTACCATTGATTAACTACAGAAACATGTAGGGTGAAACATGGTGAAGGTCGTGCGAACTGTGACTCTCCAGTGTGATGCGGGTCACGACCTGAAATAGATTCCAACAGGAAAAAAACCCATACCAGTTTAATTGCTTGGCAGAAGTAATGATATTAGGTTATGTTGTGTGCCTGGAGGTTGTGGTATTCTGTTATGTTGTGTGCATTGAGGTTGTGGTATTATGTTATGTTGTGTGCCTTGAGGTTGTGGGATTAGGTTATGTTGTGGGCCTGGAGGTTGTTGTATTAGGTTATGTTTTGTTCCTGTTGGTTGTGGTATTAGGGTATGTTGTGTTCCTAGAGGTTGTGGTATAAGGTTATGTTGTGTGGCTGGAGGTTGTGGTATCAGATGTATGTTATGTGCCTGGAGGTTGTCGTATTAGGTTATGTTGAGTGCCTGGAGGTTGTGGTATTAGGTTATGTTCTGTGCCTGAAGGTTGTGGTATTAGATTGTGTTGTGTGCCTGGAGGTTGTGGTATTAGGTTATGTTGTGTGCCTTGAGGTTGTGGTATTAGGTTATGTTGTGTGCTTGGAGGTTGTGGTATTAGGTTATGTTCTGTGCCTGAAGGTTGTGGTATTAGATTGTGTTGTGTGCCTGGAGGTTGTGGGATTAGGTTGTGTTATGTGCCTGGAGGTTGTGGGATTAGATTGTGTTGTGTGCCTGGAGGTTGTGGGATTAGGTTGTGTTATGTGCCTGGAGGTTGTGGGATTAGATTGTGTTGTGTGCCTGGAGGTTGTGGGATTAGGTTATGTTGTGTGCCTGGTGGTTGTGGTATTAGGTTATGTTCTGTGCCTGCCGGTTGTGGTATTAGGTTGTGTTGTGTGCCTGGAGGTTGTGGTATTAGGGTATTTTGTGGGCCTGAAGGTTGTGGTATTAGGTTATGTTGTGTGCTTGGAGGTTTTGGTATTAGGTTATGTTCTTTGCCTGAAGGTTGTGGTATTAGGTTGTGTTGTGTGCCTGGAGGTTGTGGTATTAGATTGTGTTGTGTGCCTGGAGGTTGTGGTATTAGGGTATTTTGTGGGCCTGAAGGTTGTGGTATTAGGTTATGTTCTGTGCCTGCCGGTTGTGGTATTAGGTTGTGTTGTGTGCCTGGAGGTTGTGGTATTAGTTATGTTGTGTACCTAGAGTTTGTGGTATTAGGGTATGTTGTGTGCCTGGAGGTTGTGGTATTGGGTTGTGTTATGTGCCTGGAGGTTGTGGTATTAGGTTGTGTTATGTGCCTGGAGGTTGTGGTATTAGATTGTGTTGTGTGCCTGGAGGTTGTGGTATCAGATGTATGTTATGTAGTGTATGTTACAGTTGTTTGTTGCAGGTTTAAGGGGTACCACATGTAACTGCTGTATGTTTTGCTGTGGGGACACACAGGAGAGCGTGTAGTCTGAACTAGTATTAAAACAATTGTTGTTTATCTTTGTTAACGAAAGATAAGGTTATCCCCCAGAAGGACAAAGAAAACGTTGCCTACATTGTACGTGTCTATGAGGTCTATGTACCTGGATGCTCCTAGAGACAGTTAATTTTAAGTTGTCTTTTTCAGAAGGTCGTTTCCATGATACTATTGAGGAACTATCAATATAGAGAAGATCGAAGTCTGGTTGTCCAGTAAAATATTTGGTTGTCCGAGAGAAGTTTATGGTTGTTATACAGAAGAATTAGTCTGGTTTTCAAGGAGAAGATCTATGTCTAGTTGTCAAAAAGAAGACGTAAGATCGACGAGGTCTGTAACGTATTGTCCCTGTTTTCTAAGAGATCTATGCCTGTTTATCCTAAAGAAGATATGAATCTGCTTTTCTCGCACCTCATATATGGGTATGCTTTATGTTACCCCGTGCTAGATTTTCACTCTCGTCCGATCTATCTGGCACCTTTCCTCGAGATTTTGTAGATACATATAATCTACAATGTGAATATGATTTCTTCTTTGTAAGGACGGCCCGGACTACATTGTTTATATGGAAGCATTCAAACGTTGATTTAGTAGTGAAGAGGCCATATTGATTTGAGACTCCATACGTTATAATTGTAGCTATATTGAATAGTTTTTGGAACTAAAAATCGAGGGCTAAGATTATATAACATAATTCCAATCGAGGCGTAGATTCTGTGACATCCCAATTTCGGCTTACACCTCGGTTTCAGAATCTTAGCACTCGACTGTGATAACTAGTTATAAGTAATAGATTGTATTAGTCTAACTGAAGGTGTGTGATTTTGTCGTTCTAAAGAAAGTTAGACAATCTTAGTGAAATCCGAGTACGCTATCGTCTCCGACACCCTGCCCAGTCGTAAAGGAGTTTTTGGTTTGTCTGGGTATGGAGAAGTCTTCTTCTCATAGTGATGGTCAGGTCTTTGTTTATATTTCTTATAGAACGTCTGTATTTGTTGGTCTTCGAAAAGATCTGTGTCTGGTTGTCTTAGAGAAGCTATGTATCTGGTTTTTATTGAAAACGCTGTTATTACTATGTCACTTAGCGGGATATTGGGTTGTTTTTGAGAAGGCGGTTTTCAGTGAGTCCATCAAAACGTCAATGCTGAATTATCCTATAGTGATCTAAGTAACATAGACTACAGCATGTTTTAGGTTACTGACACACCCGTTATCCTAGACAACAGATTACATCAGTATTTGTCTAAAATTGACAAAAATAGCACGCCCTGACTGGGTCAGTGACATGTTGATTGTCATCGACCATTTATGACAAGTAGTCATTGGCGGCAATATAGTGTCTAAATAAGCTTTATACCAAATTAAATTATTGTCACCACTATAGTAGAGTTCCCATAATAAGGTCCCGTGACCACTTTTCCGCGACCAAGGTTTGAAAGTTGATTTTAGTCAATTTGAGGGTGCTGATCAAAATGAGCTGGGGTGAACCTCTTGAAAATGTGGGCTAACTCGGCCAGACGCGAAAATTCAAAATGGCCGCCACCCGGCGTCCGGTATATCAAAAAAATACATATCTTTGGTTCTAGATGTCCTTTCTAAATGGTTTATGGGTCTAAATATATGTTTGAATGGTCAGGGATTTTATTTATTAGTATGATAACTTGATAAAAGTAAGCGTTAGAACGAAATATGGTCTTTTATTATTTTGCTGCCAAAAACCAGGATAACCGAAAGCTGATTGCAAAGGAAAAGACAAGGAAGACACCTTAAATGGTTTAAATTCAAAGGTTTCATCTTTAACCAGTGTGGTTCCACTAGTTTCACCCCAGCTCATTTTAATCAGCACCCTCAAATTGACTAAAATCAACTTTCAAACCTTGGTCCGGAA